CTAGTTTGGGCAGCAAGTGGATGGGCTAGGGTTACGTGAACATTCTTACTGGGCAATAAGTCTTCAGCTACCTCTAGTTCTGCAGAGGGGATACAACCTAGAAGTCAGGACTAGCAGTAATGTTATTAAGAGAAAACTTTCAATGTCTCTGTAATTGGATAACAAATTTTCTATTCCACGCACAATTCATGTGAAACTCCAGTTAAATTCAATAGGTCTGATTCTCATTTAGGCTCAGGTCACTATTGCCAAAGCAATGTAATCTGGCCTTTGTGTAAATAGAAATCAGACCCAATGGGATTTTTGCCTGAGTGAGGCCTGCAGGATTGGGTCCTATGACTATAAAACTAATTGAGATGGTAAATAATTGCATTTGGTTACATGACAAACTCTGATGTTTTCATGCTATTGTATCTTAATTATTTCTGTTAAATACAGAAATTAATTTTGCAGAAAAGATAAGGATTTATGCCTATCTTGAATAAAAAAGTCTTAAGATAATGGGTTAAAGTTGATTTTTCTCAGCATTTATGGCACCTGCATCCTGAATGGATAGATCTTTCTTCTCTAGGATAATTTGACATCCCCGTATTAGAGAGACAAGATGGGTGAGATAATATACCGGCACCACCTAGAGCTAGTAGAGGCAAATTGCACTGTTTTCATTTATAAGCCCTGTATTTTAGGGGTTTAGTCTGTGCTGTGGAAACTTACAGCAGACTGAAAATTGGAAGACCATGTTTTTAGCATGTAAGTAAAATAATTTTTATTTTTCAAATCACTAGTTTTTTGTTGTTAAATAGAGTCTATGTGATATTTAAGAGGCCTCCTAATTAAAATGGCTTTTGGCTTTTCTGTTTAACTCTGAAGAAACTTCAGTTTAAAAATACCATGGATTGATTCCTTAGATGCTCCAAATAAGCACTGAGAACAACAGAAGCTGTTGGCTTCTCCCTGATCTTTAGGCCAGTTTTCTGCTAGTCCGATCCCCAGAGAAATTTAAAGCAGCCTCAGGGCTGCTTAAAACTACACCAGCTTACAGCAAGGGCTGATCACTAGCTCACAACATTAACCTAGAGTGATGCAAAGAGACCAACATGGGATCAAAGATTTGATTCTATCTGTGCAAAGTGAAGCCCACAATCCAATTGATTCTAAACTGCTTTATACGGTTGTTATAAGAGTTGTTCTTTTCTTTAATTTTAATAAATCTGCTTTAGTGAGACCCAAAACAAAATGTGTGTAATGTATGGCACAAAGGAAAATCTCCCACCTGCCTATTGATTTAGTAGGATTAATACCTACGGGGGCATGGAACCAGGGAATGAATTAAAGGGGAACTTGTCACTGAGACTGTTTACTCCTTGGCTCCATCTGTCACTCTGATATGGCTCCCATAAATACATGCAAAACCCCAACTGCACAGAGTTGTCCAGAGAAGCTGCTACAGGCTCTGGGGAATGTCTCTGCTACCCTCCTCTCTGCAAATTTAGGGTCCTCTCCACTCCTTTCTTACTGTTTCATTCCCCTTTGCAACGTCACAGCTCCTACTGACACACACAAAGCAGTGAGCAACTGGATGGGGCAGAGAGACAAGAATCCTCTGTGTATGCTGTTCTGCCTGGACGGTGGTTCCCATTCACTCCTAATGCTCTTTCTGGGCTTCTTCTCCTACGCTCACAAGTACTTTACAGAATATGCAGCAATTTTCTAACACTTTCTATCTGAAGGTTTCAAACCACTTTACAAAGGTGCATGAGCAGCCACATCCCTATTTTATAGATAGGGAACATGGGGCAGAGAATTTAAGGTCAAATTCTTAAATGTAGGTGCCTAAAGTTAGGAAGTTAAATCCAGATTTATGCACCTAAATAAATTGCCTGCTTTTCAGAGGTACTGAGCACTCAAGCTTTCATTGACTTCCAAAGAGAAGGGATGGGAAGGAGCGGGGAGGAAGGAGCAATGTGAATGAGAAAGGTATCTTTTTTTCTTGGTAAAGAGGCCTGACTGTTTAAGTGTGGTAATGCTGGTGATGGCTGTCAGCCTATCAGAACTTTCTCTCTATCTCTTGGGCAATCGGAAGAGGCCTGGAAGAGCTCACCTGACCCACCTGTAATTGTAGGGAGGGTTTGTATGTGGGGCGAGCTTCTCTCAAATCCTAAGGCAAAAAGAAATGCCCAATGGAAAATATGTTGAATAATGCAACGAAAGGCAGCTTAGTGGTTTTATGCCCTATGTCAGCAGGTACTCAGCCCTTAACTGCTATTCTAAAAACAAAACACTTTTTGTTTCAAAATTCAGTTAAGGTTCCTAAGCAACAACATTGTACTTACCTATCACATTGTTTACAAACCCCCACACACTTAAAACAAGGAAATGAGTATTAAGGAACATGATAAGTCTTACTGTATTCATCAGTAAACACTTTTTTCTGACCAAGTACAACTAAATTCATATTTCACAACAACCCTAACTCTAATTTACCAGTATATCATGCTTTCTCCTTTGCTACCCAACATGCATAGATTTACAAAAAGTTCCACCCAAATCCACATTATCTTCCTTCAAATTTCTCCTTAAAAATCACTCCTGATGTCTACACCTAACAATGACTAGAAAACTGGTGTGCTCTGATCACTGCTTAGTATTCAAATCATAATAGTTTCACAGATACAAAAAGCAGAGGGGGGAAGCACAGTGTATCCACCTTTTTTCTCGTCATATATTTAACTGAAAGCTCCTTGGGGCATATTTTCATTATATGGGTGTATACCGACTAGCATTACGGGCCCTTGATTGGAGCCTATAGCCACTAGTATAATACAAATTAATAAGTTAAATTTATCAACCGACAATGGATTTTTGGCAATGTATTTATAACAGGGTTCTTGAGAATGAAGTCTTATATGTAGTTTAATAGGAAGGTGCAGAACTATATATCCTTGAGAAATTTTGCTACGACTGTGGACTTGCATTTGAGGCAGATGAATATATATCATTAATGTGTATGTGTATGGTTTTTGTTTCTTCTTCTAAAGGGTTTTTATTGCATTTATATTTTGACATGACTGTTGAATGAATATTATTTATTTTGGATTGGTCTTAAGGTGGCTGTGTTGTGATGAAATATACATTTTTAAAATTTTCAGAAAGCAAAGAAAATTGGGATCAACAGAAGCAAAGTTAGGCCAAAGCTGAACACTTATGAAAACCCCACACATTACATTTTTATAGATCATAATTCAAATTGACAAACAAAGGCCAATAATGTTATTTTAGGATTTTACTCCATTTCAAATTCACTGAAGAGCTCACAAAACACCAGACTGTGAACCCCTTGCTCACATTGTTGAACACTTAAACATGAATAGTCCCATTCCATTATTTCAATGAGGCTACTCAGGTAAAGAATTGCTCACCAGTGTGAACAAGAGGTTCACAATCTAGTTCAAAATGACAATTACAATTCCCTATACATAAGCAATAACGAAGCAAGAATTATTAATTATTATTTATCCACCATGTTGGTGGTTGCACATGCAGTAATGCATGCCAGCATTTACTACTGTCCAATTATTATGCACTGTAACATTATATGACAATGTTTACTGAAGAGCATTATTGTAAAAGGAATTAATATTCAGTTAAACGACCATCTGAAGTGTTGCAAATACAACCGTGTGTGGGTGAAATGCTTACAAAAACTTGCATCCGAAGAAGTGAGGTTTTTACTCACGAAAGCTTATGCCCAAATAAATCTGTTAGTCTTTAAGGTGCCACCAAACTCCTTGTTGTTTTTACAAAACCTAGTGTATTATTTGTTTTTAAAGAAATCATTTAAAACAAGGTTAAGTGACTCAGACACTTTCTATTTCACAAATAAATTGTGGGATTATGAAATGACACACTTGAAATAAATTAAGCAGAAAGTATATTGTATTTGTATTGTGTGGTATTCATTTAAGTATTCAAAGCTAAAGTGCTAGCAAACGTTCTCCTTCATGACCTTGCTTCCCCAGTTCCTCCTCACTCTAGGAGTTGTGTGTACAGCCACGCAGCTATAAAACTAAAACTGATTGTGAAACTGGGATTTTTTTCCTGCAAAATAATTTAAAGGAAAAATATCCTTTTAAAAATTTCTCATCAGAATAGTCCAATCTTTCCACAGGAAGTTTAGAAAACGTGGGAAAGTGTTTTTACCCAATTTACCACCCTAGAGGAAGGTAGTAGTGGCTCATCTGCCTTCTTCAAGGCATACTTTGGTCTTGTCCTTGAAACTGGTCACATAGGTGCGTAGCTTCACATGTGAATATTCCCAGAAGTTCAAATCAAATCTGTGAGATATTTTTATGTGGTGTGTTTAATGCTGTTGGCCAGCAGTGTTTCTAACACGGCTCTCCACATACCGTACACAAAACAAAAATGACATACCCTTTAAAAAAAACAACAAGGAGTTTTTTTGTTACAGCATTAGAGATATCACATATAGTGTAGTACTTGCAAAATCACATCACACTAACGACAACACAGATTATGCTCATGACAGCACACAGATTTCCAAATAAATCAATATATCAAGGTTTAATTGGATGAATAGGCCCATTTCTTAGGAAGAGAGGGGAGGACTTGTCGATGCCCATTATTTCTGGAGTAAAGCAGACACATCCCCTGCCCCCGCCCCACCGCATCCATTTTAGAGACTAAACAGGCCTGTGATGACGGTTTTGCATCCAAACCGGGCCAAGATTCACACTTCCAAAGGGAAACAGACGTTTGCTAAAGGGTGGCATAAAATATTTCGCTGGTTTGTCATTTCATTTCATGCACTTTTCCTCGGTCTCTCCCTCTCTGTCCCGCACCCCCCCAGACGTTTGGCATAAAATGAAATGTGGGGAGGAGGGAAGGGAGGAAGAAAGAGCCCAAACATAACATTTGATTAAAGACAGCGCGTGGATTTCAGCTCCTCAGCTCTGTAGCTGCAGGCTCGGGAGTTTCAGCTTCCTAGCGCCTGCAGCCGGGATCGCTGCTGCTGCCGAGCGATCCTCATCCCGCAACTCTGCGATTCAGCTCCAGCCAACGCGCCCCCGGCTGTGGTGGGGCGGCAAGCAGGCTGGGATGGGGGCAGGGCAGCTCCGCCAAGCCCGTTGGAGGGCCTGACGAGCCAAGCCCCGCTTCTTTGCCCGCCATCAGTGGCAGCAGAGGGACCCCCGCGAGCCTTGGCGCTGCTGCCAGCAGCTCCGCCCCGCTGCAGACAATGCGGAGACTCGAGCCGCCCAGCCACCGCGGGCCCGGGAGCAGGAGCCTCCAGGGAGGGAGCGGGCAGGCCCCGCCGCTTGCCCGCGTTCCGCGCCCCAGCGTTCCAAAGAAGGGAATCCCCTCCAGTCACAGAGCCGGGCGGCCAATCAGCTGCCAGAGCAGGGGATTCCCGCTTTGCCTGCCGCGCGTGCGGTCTGTTTAAATGGCACGCCGGTCCCTCTGGGAGATCTCATCAGGGACAGGCAGGGTGAGAGTGGGGAGGTGGGGAGCGTAGCGGGGAGGAGCTGGGGAGACAAGGGGTGGACAAGGGATAAGGGGGCTCCTAGAGGGCAGAGTGTAGGGCAGGCAGAAGGCGCAGGAGAGCTAAGAGGCTCATAGGGAATATAAATAAGAAGGGTGGCTGTTAGGGGCATCTAGCCCATCACTGTCTCCTTGAAGAGAGGCAAAAAGACAGATTGGCTCAGGACACTGGTGTCTCAAAAGTGAGTGGTGTTCATTTGCCTGGGTGCACATAAGTTAATATAGCTACATTATAAATAAGTACTTTTTAAGGTAGATAATCGCAGCAGGAGTTTATCTTCAGAGATGGAGTGGAAATTAGAAAGATCTGCTTCTAGGAAGGTCAAGACAGATGAAGACATGTTGTGGGTAAATGTCATTCATTTTTCTTTTTATTCTAACTCACCAGTGCTTTGCTGGAGTAAAGTGATTTATCTTCTCACAGTTACACAGTACAATAATAGTGGAACAAGTCATAAAGATCATACTTTTTCCTAACTCAGGCAGAACTCATGAAGTCAGCTGAGAGTTTTAGCTTAGCAAGAGTGTGGAAAAGGGCCCTCAGGCTTCAATAATTTTGCTACAAGGGGGGGAAGGACTGCAGGATTTGATTTTCCACAAACATCTGGTTTCATGTGACCAGTGATTTAGACTGGGGATAAAAGTTGTTGTTGCTCAGATGATACCAGAACATTTAATTGCATTGTTTGTACTTCTGTATTTTTTTAAGGAGAAAGTAATGAAAACACTTGGGAAAGACCTTAAGCAGATGAGAAAACAAAGTTTACAGAAGTTCACTAAGGTAAGTACATATACAAAAATCTGCTTTGTATATTTTTTAGGGGCAGGGAGGAAGGGACAGAAAAAGTAGAAAATCTATATAATTTTGAACACAAAAATAAAGTTTTAAGAGATTTTTTCCCCTCTGTTATTAGAGTCACTACAAATGAAATTCATTTAAATGCATAATGGGAAACCATAGAAAAATGTACATAAACTACGCTAGTGACAAAGTGGCAGTGATATAATGAAAACTTCAGAAGTAGATACTGGGATTCTTTCTTCATAGGGTTATAGGGACTGATTACTGAATACAAGCTACTAGATCTGTTTGAAGTGGGTGCAGGCATGTGGGGAGATGCCTGTCCATGCAGCATCACAAGCCAGCTGGCACATACCTGTGTGGTTGCATGGTAAGGAATAGAAGAAACAGTGAAGAGTGAAAACAGTGGATAGATGTAAACTTATAGTTTTCTTTATGTGTTAATCACCAACAGTGTACTTGGCAATGTACAGGATGCAAAATACAGACAGCCCTTACCTCCAAAGCTTACAATGTAAATCTGGTGAGTCACTTTAGTAGAATCCTAAGTGAGATTCAGTTAGGGATGGAGGTAATGTAAAGGGAGACTCCTACTAGACTGGAAATTTTAGAGCAGAAGATAAGCAGGGTGCATTAAAGACAGAATATAGTACAGAAGTGTAGTCACTGACATGCAAGTATATTACTTTACTGTTAACATTCATACAAGCAATATTGTTGGGAAGGCACAATGCTAGACTAAACATGTTGAACAACAGCTAAGCTATAGAAAGCTGTCTTTGGGACACAGCAAATGGCCAAGAAGTACTGATGGAGCACAAGGATGTGACAGTTTGGCAGTGCCTTGCTAGCTGGCTGTTGAGAACTTGATATATGAACAGTTGCTAGCTGCACTCCACATTGTTGCATTCAAAAGCATCCTAGAAGTCATGGAAATGGCAACCTCTTGTGGACTGTGATGGGAATCAGATCCATATTAACCAACTCATTCATTTGGCTGCTGCCTAGCCATGGCAACTGGACAAGTAATTGTTTATATACGTGGGTTTTTTTTTGATAATTCAGGAGTATTGCAAGATAGAATTCCTTCTGAGTGGTATAAGAGCCCAGTTTTGAAAAGCAAAGAGAGAGGACCACAATCTGTCCTTATTTATATCCATGCAACCTCTTTGGTTCTGCCTTCAGTGACATCCATACAGCTCACTATCCATACGAGTCCTAAGATCCAAACTTATAATTATTAAACACTGTGAAGGTGATTTTTTTACCAGCAACATCAATTTTGCTCATTATGGGCCTGATACAAATGCCCATTGAAGTCAATGGGACTACTCACATGCTTTAAGTTATCTACATGCTTAACTGCCTTGCTGAATCAGGGCATGAGCTTTCCAGTTAAATCCAGTAAAACTGGTGTGAATGAAAAGCGAATCTAGTCTAACACTTTCTGAAATTTTGGTTGACAATTTAGGGCCTGATTCAGATCTCACTTTACACTGCTTTACCCTATTGTAACTCCACTGACTTCCTTGGAATTAGTCTGTATTTCCAGCAGTGTAACTAAGATCAGAATCATGCCCTTGATATTTATTGCATCTAAGTATTTACATTTTGTGTAGAAGTACATATTGAGTTAATTTTGAAAGAGGTTAGCAACATTGAAATTAGATGGAAAATGGAATGATTGCTCAAATGGATCTTTATCTTTTCCATCACTCCACTTTGCAAAGTTCCTGTTACGAATAAAATTCAGTCACACCATCTTTAGAAAGGAAATATGTTGCCTTGCTTAGGCTCCTTGTGTCTGGTAGGCAGTGTACTGTTAGCTGGCTGCTTTGTGTGAATCTAGCAGTCTCTACTACACTGTCACCTGCTGCAGGGCCAACTCCCTGTTATTTTAATGAGATGAACTAGGAAGACATCAGGACACCAACTTGTGAGAACATTGGTGGTAACTGTATGTGTGTGCTAGGAAGGCAGTGTATTGTTAGCTGGTTGAAAATCTGACAGCAGCTAACCTACATCTGCTATCTTATTGCACATACTATGATCATCCAACTGCAGCAAAACTTATTTTACATGGTGCATCTTGTAGGCCCTTTTTATTTTCTGCTGTAAAGGGTATAATCAAACAATAGTGAAACCTAATATTTACCTTTATCGCTGTTTCACACACTCCTGTTATCCAAAGTACAGAGAGAAAACTTTTGTTTAGCTCTTATAATGTTTCTTAATTTTGATCAGCACTTAGAGACCAATATGATAGGAGGCCTTATAAATACTTAAGTCAGATAGACAGATAATAGAATTCAAACCATATCAAACAATCGCAAATTAACTGACAACTTTTTTTTTTAGCAGGACAAGCAATGACTTTCCTAAATTCTTTTCTTTGAAATTTTCTTGCTGTTTTATATAGAATGTGTCAATCCATTAATAATACAACATTAGGCAAAATTTACATTTTTTTCAATGAGCAATTAAAAGCTGATTGAGTTTAAAAACTGACAACCCCAAAGGTGTTCAATCAAATGTCCTACCAAATACACCAAAATTATATTTTAGTGTCATCATGACGTTTCCACTATTGTACTGGTGGGGGGAAAGGGGGGCAGGCGGGGGATGATGACAGTATCTTGAAAATGATTCCCGTCTTCTCCAAGTGCCTTCAGATTTGTCAACATCTTTGTGGTTCTGAAGTACTAAAAATGTATGTAGTGTTTCTAGGTGTTCTCACCAGTTCCACAGAGAGAAGAACTCTAATCTGAATGTTATGATCCTGCATAATGAAGACCAAAGAGATTGATTTTTTTCATGTTGTTAACAAATATATATAACATGTTGGCTACAATCACCGCATTAGTGCTTTGCAAGAAGTATCAGCCTCATACTGAATATTGTTTAATTGTTTTCCCTATCCATATGTTAACACCCTTGATGGGTACAATTCCATTAGGTTCTGAAAACCACTCAATTCCCACTGTCTATAATGGTAGAAGGTGCTTAGAACTTTGTGGGACTGGTCCCTTTATCCTTGTGTATCATTTCTCTGTTCTCAGTGATTTTTGCAACATCTCCTAATGTAGCATTACTTATCAATATTATTAATGTGCTGTTAACTCCTCTTCAGGATCATTAATTCAGACATTCAGGAAAACTGGGGTTATTGTCTTCTGCAGCACACTTATTGGATGCTCCCTCAGATCAATGCACTGTCATTTATCATTCACATTGCTAGGCAAGCTGTCAGTTTTCAGTTCAAGGGAAATGGTTCATAGCCAGCTAATTTAAATTAATTTTAAAAGAAATAAAGTTTGTTTCTTGATAGGAGTATTTCAATATTAGCTTAAGGCACCCTGGTGTCCAAGTGCTGGTATTCATTTGATGAAATCCATGCCTTGTATTTGTATCTAAGCAGTTCTTATTTGCAAAAAACAGACTCTTTCATTATATGAACTCCCAGATAAGTCAAGTAACACATATAGCCCAACTTTCTTGCAGACTCTCCAAGTGAAGACCTCCCAGTGAAACAGCATGTGTGTATATGTGGAGAGCTTGCAGCATTAAGGCCCATAATAGAACTAGTTTTGTGTATGTGCTGATTAGGCAGTGTATTGTTAGTTAGCTGTTGTTCACATACCAGCAACTAAATACGCTTCCACATTAGCACACGACCTTGCATCAATGTTTAGACAAGCGGATTACAACTGGTTATTATAAGCCTCTCTCTGTAAAGATAATGGGCCAGATCTTCAGCAGATGTAAATGTGTTTGGCATAGCTCCATTGACTTCAGTGGCAGCTAAGCCAAATTATACCAGCAGAGTATCTGGCCTGTAGATATTGTGGTTTGTTTGACATTAGGAGTTAATATGTTTGGGTCTGATCCTACAAAATTTTACTTATATGAACAATCACAATCCCTTTGACTTCAAAGGGACTACTTGCACATGTGAGTATTGCTTTTAGGTTTGGGTCTCATATGAAAATGTGCATTTCTTACAATATTACGTAATGTAACTTTATAAGCTTGAAACATTCAGAGAGGATATCAAAAGATTCCTAAGGGAACCAGAGACACAGTTCTGGAATTGTTTGGTTTTGCTTGACACTACTTCTGTTGGTCCTTTTGGGGTCAGAACATCCAACAGAGAGGAGGTGAGATACTCCAGCTCAAGTCAGGTTGGTTGAAATGTGTTTGGAAAATTTGTATTCCTGGTAGCTCTTTACGAAGGAAAGGAGTCCCAGGTTAAATCATTCCCGCTGTAGATTATGGGGAAGAAGTGAAGATCTGTGGAAATGGGTAATCATTTGATTTCCAAGATATACCCAGACATCAGCACTTAATTTCTGCCAGGGCTTGCCAGGGCTGAGCCCCGGCACCTCTAGGCTTGGCAGTTCATAGCCCTGGTACCTCTGGGCTTGCTGCATCAGTTATGAAAATAAAAAAATTGCTTGAGCCCCGACACCTAATTGCTTGAGCCTCGGCACCTCTTTCATTACCAAAAACACTTAAAGGACTCAAGACACAAGTTTTCCTTCAGGTTTCCTATTGGAGAGCTCCTTGCTCTCCCCTGGGTCTCTTCCTCAACCAACTCAGCAAAAAGACCTCTGGCCCTTAGGAAGAAACCATCAGTCCACACTCCTCCCCAGTCACCCTCAGACACTGCTGAGTTTTCTCCCTTTTAAGTCCCACAGCCTGCCCAGGTGTGGTAGGGTGGTACTAATTGAATAGGGCTGCCGGGCCCCATGCCTCCTGAGCCAGAAAGGAGCAGGCTGCCCTGTCACAATGTCCCTTACTGTCACTACTAGCCTGGATGGAACGACTAGTCAGACTAATGACTCTGAAGTGAGTGCCCCATATGCCTATCCTTCCCAACTCCCAGCACCTTTGTGTAGATTACAAAGGATATGCGGCACAGTTTGCCTCTTACATAATCTCTGTGAGATTAGTATCCATCCAAATAGCTGTGTGAATAA